ATTTTGGTCCAGCTGCTGCCAGTTTTCAAACCTGGTGAGCTTTTTAACCAGCTGTGGGGTGAGTGCAGGGGCTTGGGATTTATGAAACTGTTGGGTTGTCTTAAGACCCAATGTCCAGATAGCACAGAGATTTAGCTGTCTTGGAGTGGGGTCATCCAGCCAGCTTGTGGCATGTGGTGGGGCAGGATCCACATCTTGGCAGGTGGGCTCCAGGGCCTTCGCTTCAAAACTGCTGTGCTAGCCGGGCGCGGTGGCTCACGCCTATAATCCCAACACTTTGGGAGGCTGAGGCGGGTGAATCACGAGGTCAGGAGTTCAAGACCAGCCTGGCCAAGATGTTGAAACCCCGTCTCTACTAAAAGTACAAAGTAGCTGGGCGCGGTGGCATACGCCTGTAATCCCAGCTAGTCAGAAGGCTGAGGCAAGAGAATCGCTCGAACCTGGGAGGCGGGGGCTGCAGTGAGCCGAGATCGTGCCATTGCACTCCAGCCTGGGTGACAGAGTGAGACTCCGTCTCAAAAAAAAGAAAAAAGAAAACTGCTGTGCTCTACTGCTTGAGCAGCTTTATGGGAATACAAGCGTCTCCTGCTCAAAAGCTCCTGGGATGCCATGTAAGGTAAGCATGTTTGCAGTTTTGTCTGCAACTCTCTCCCTATCCTTTGGGTTATGCTCAGCAGTGTACAGACATGCTCAAGAGTTCCCATCTTTCAAAAGCTCTCCCTTGCCCCCTTCCACTATCAAAATGGAACTCAATTCATGTGAGTTAATGTAAAGCTTTCAAATACTTTCCTATCTCCCTTAGAATAAAAATAGCCTCCCACCAGGGTGACAGGCCCTGAGTATCTGGCTCCTGCTGGGCTTTTCATGACCCCATCCTGTCCTACCTCCTTCTTCACAGACTTCAACACATTGTGAGGCCCCTGTGCCTAAAGTGTTATGGGGCTTGCTGTGGGAGATGGAAGTAGTAGCAATGTGGCTGGTAGAAAAGGACAGCAATCCTGGCATGGGTGGGGGTTCTTAGTAGAGGCAGGAGTACAGAGAGGCGGCAGCAGTGTGTGTCAATGTCACAGCTACTTAGCTGGGAACTCGGGACACCGTGAGAGAACTACTTAAGATATCAGGAGGGCCCTGGAGTGCTGCATCAAAAGGAGAGGGAGAGAGTCCATGTAACGTTTCTTGACCCCATTTTTACCCATAGACCAGGGAAACATGGATATATGAGTTCCATTCCAAAATTATTTCAGGAATAAGATTCATTCCTGGTCCATCACTCAAAAGCCAATTAAGACAAGGAATCTTCCTCTTCTCTCTTCCTATTTCTGTTTCTCTCACACCCATACCCTTAAAATTGTATTTTAACTTTAAAGAACATGTACATTCATGTTATTCTTTTAATAAAAGCCAACTCTTTTGGTATGAGACATTCACAATTTCCAGTATTTCTTTAAAGTCGAACACAAGTTTTACGACACAAAGTGTTCGGAAGCAGAATCCCAGGTTCAGCTGATTTCTTGCTATTGCCTGTCTCACTCATCCATACTTAATTTGAGAACATTTTTTAGCAACATGCTTCTACTGAGTCTGTCTAAAGCATTCCAGGGTTTCAATGAATCAGCTCCCTGCCATTTCATGTTCATAATTCGTGGGTCTACTTCATATTAAATGTCATTACAGTAGTACAGTGGGAATCTGTCAGTTTGGGAACAGATTCAGCAAAGGTAACTCAATTGAGAGAAGGGGGTAAGGGTGGGGATACTAGAGCCCCCTCCCACCAGCCCCGATGGCCTTTGTCACTTAGTGTGCCTGACAGTCAAGTCAGATGTTTTACAGACAAGATGTCTGGTGCTGGTTACCTAGAGATTGGAAAACAGAACTGAGTAATTTCAATTCATTTTGAGATAAGAACTGCATTTGCAGATCCTACTTGGCCAGCAGGTGGCAGAAGTGACTTAGGCGTTCACGAACTCCTATCCCTACTGTGAACTCCGCAGGAGCCTGAGCCTTTGCCAGGATTAGTGGCTGAGCCAGACAAGCTTCCTTTCATCAAGGGAAACCCATTTCATGGGTTTTTCTGGCGGCATTTTCTCTCCAGGTCAAAATTAGAATTCCAGCGCTGGGGTGAGAAAACTCAACAAGGTCATCAGTCTCTGTACCCACCCGATTTCTCCAAGCCTCAGTTTCTCCTCTAAATACGGAGAATAGGGTCAATTTCCTACTTTGCTGGGTTGCTTTGAGTACTCAAAGTCACCTCGTATTCTCTTCTCTCTCCTTGAATAGAGGGGAGGGCAGCATCTCAACCCCAGGGGAAAATCTCATCACCCAGACAGCTGGCTCGCCATGGCGGCAGCTGAGCAAAGATAGATGCCGCTCTCCCCAGCCCCTCCCAAACTCCAGCACCCAGATCTCAATGCTGCTGAGGGCCCCAGGCAGATGCCTACCTACTGGTAGCTGCCCAGAGACAGTAGGTAGCTGGCCACACTGTGGGAGCTACCCTGTCTCGCCCTGCGGGCCTGCCTTCCTGGTGGGAAGCCAGCATTTCCTGGGAGCACTGAGCCCCTGGCATTTAAAGCATCAGCCTGTGTGGGCAAAGTTTATACCTGATTCTAGGCAGGGCTGGTTGGGCCTGAGTGACGTTTCTAGAGGCTGTGGTCAGAAACTGGGTGCTTTGGTGACCATCACTCCCTGAACAGACCCCTACAGGTTACTGCTGAGGGGTGGCTTGGGCCGGCCACACATCGGGACACACTGTGAGGGGAACAAGTGACTGGGCCCAGAGGCACTGCTGCGCTGCCTCCTGAAGCACAGCCCGGGAGCTCCAGCCGCGTCGGGCCTGGCCTGGGTGCCCTGTGGATGGGAAAGGCTTTCTGGAGGGATTTGCCCTAATGGAGCCTTCAAGTCTGAGGATGAACCAGAGGAGGGAGGTGAACAGCAGGGAAGGGGATCTGGAAGGGAGCCGGGCAGGGGCCCAGGGTGAGGGGTGGGCACCTGGAGGACCAGGAACAGGCGCTTCCCATGGCCTTGGCTCAGCCCTCCTGCAGGGCAGTCACACTTGCCCACACCTCGCCCAGGCACAGCACCGACACTGGGCACCCACTCAGGCTGTGGCCCTGGAGCAGAGCTGGGGCCATGGTGGAAGGCCCAGGGGAACTCCTAAGACAGAAACTAGCTGCAGAGGTCCAGAGGCTGGGGGACAGGGAGAGTGAGGAAAGGCGTCCCACCTTCAGCACCCAGATGAGAGAGCTGAAAGCACAAGGCTGCTGCCCCTCGGGGGCTTCATATCCACTTCACGATGCACTTGCTGTTCCACCCAGGGGCACGCCTCAGGGCACTCCCAGCCCTTGGAGAAACAGGAGCAGTCACCTGAGAAGCACTATATTGTGCGGCATGAAAAATGAGCCAGGTAGCAAGGCACCATGCTTTGTGAGCACATTTAATAAAGAAAGCTAACTGTTGCCAGCAGCTGCCCAGATCCTGGGTGCCCTCCATTTCTGTGGCCATGGGTGACATTTCCTGGGTAAGGGCTAAGCACTGCTCTTGGTACCGTCCCCTTCTGACCCTACCAGGAGCTGCATGGTTGGAGCAGCATCTAGAGCCCACGTGGTCTGTGTGGGGTCCCGACAGCCCCCACAGGACTATCAGGATCTCTCTCCAGCTGGTTCTGGAGCACCTGGCCCCTCCGGAGACACAGAGGCTTCTGACTCTGAGCATGGCTGGAGATCAGCAGATGTGGCACAGAAGTGAGCTCTGCCATTCCTTTTACTTTGGGGCCCTGGCACCTTTTGCCCCAACAGTCAAGTTTCCTAGGGTAGAAAAAAACTCCTCCATCTCCTTCTGCAACAGCTGGTTCCTCCTCTCCGCGTCCTCCCGTGCCCGCTCAGAGTTCCGCAGCTTTATTTCCAGCATGATGAACTTTTTCTTTTCCTGGTCCAGTTCTTCTTCTAACCGGGACAATCGTTTTCTCAGGTCTGCACTCCCTTCTTCCATTCTGAAAAGTCAAGGAGAGACGCTGTTTGAGACTCTGCGGGTTGGGCTCACTGCCCCATGGCTGTAGCCCTGCTTGTGCTCACTGTGGGGTGAGGGGGGGCTCAGGCTAGGCCATGGCAGTGGAGGACACCGCAACTCAGTGGGGAAGGATACCCCAACTCATCTGCTCCTCACAAGAACCCCAGTACTTCACCTGTGAGCAAACTGCCCCCTTCCATAGCTCCCCTAGGCCTGTGATCCTGAAATCACCATGAAGACCCGTGCCTTCAGAGCCTCTCTGAGTCCGCATTTACCCCTCCAGCACGGTATGGGATGGCCTGCCAGCTGGCCAGAACAGCACGCCCTGCACGGGGAGGGTTGGGACTTAGGCTGTCTCCTAGCCTTTGCTCCTGCGCTGTGGCCTCCCCTCCCACAGCTCCCTGCAGCTCCCACACCATCCCCATGGTCCAGCCACATGTGGCAACCCACAAGAGATCCTGCAGGGTGGTCACTTCCATTCCTGCTCGCCCATCACGATCACCTCAAGCACCCCCTCCACGATGCTGCTTCCTGTGGTCCTCCCCAGCAGGTCACAGTGGTGCATCTCTCCGCCACCAGGGCCTATACCTCACACTTCCGTGCAGGTTCATGCTGCAGTGTGCCAAGGTTCGCACAGCCATCTGTTTGACCAAATGGCCAGCTTCTGTCTGTCCAAAGGGACACCTGAGCCCAGCCCCTGAGAATACATACTGGAGTTTAGGGCCTAGCCTGGTGACCACTGAGCCACATGGCTATGGGCAGGACACAGGCACACAGAAATGCAGAGGGTGACCGCTCCTCAGAGCACCAGTAACCATGGACTGAAAGACACCAGGGACCCAGCACAGCGGCTGGTACACGGCGCATGAGAAAGAAATACATATTCCCTGCCCCACCAGAACGAGGCCTCCATCCTCATCACTGAGCTAGAAGCATGGCCTGAGCCCTCCCCGCCAGGAGTACAGGCAGCTGTCAGAGAGAAGTCCCCTTCCTCCCCACTGCTTCCTCTGGTCTCAGGCCTGAAGCCCTCCCCTTCCTTCTCTGCCAGGCTCAAGACTCCAGGCCCCAATTACACATTGATGACTCTGAACCATTTCATCAGCATCTCCCACTCAAAGGGTCAGAGCTGAGCTCCTGACCCTCACCTCCAGACCACTCTCTCGCAGCCCTGATGCACTCTCTTGGTGAACGCCTTCTTCCACCTGCTCAGCTGAACGATGATGTCCTCCCCTAAGCCCATTATTTTTCTGAGCCCCATATCTGATCAGTAACAAAGCCTTTTGGCTCTACCTTCAAAATATGCTCAGCACCTGGCCGCCCCCCCCACCTCCACCTGTTGCCCCTTAGGGCCACGTCCCCCACAGATCAGGCCTGGACCCCCACGCCTCCTAATTGGTGTGTTCTGTCCTTGTCCCCTGGCAAGCTCTGCTCGGCATGGCACCCAGGTGCACCTGTCAAAGTGCCCAAAGTGCCAAGACCATCAGCTTCTCACTTCATTCTCATCTCAGAAAAAAACCAGAGCATTGCCCAGGCCAAAAGACCCCGCCCATTGGCCCGCCTCACACATCTCCAGTCCCCAGCCCCTGACTCTCCCCGCTTGCCTGGGTCTTGGGCTCACTGCTGGCTACAGCTCTGGGGTCTCCTCCCCAGGGCCCTCCAACCCTCTACCCTGAGGTGCCTCTCCACTCCCCTCCACATTGCTCTATGTTCTCCTCCTTCATCTCCCTTTTAACACACCGTGCATTTTCGAAATGTATCATGCCTATCAGTCTTTGTCTCCCTGCAACCCAAATAAGAATGCAGGCAGAAATTTTGATCAGTTTTGGCCACAGCTGTGGCCACCTGCACAGCATCTGGTACTTTACAGACAACAGGCTCTCTTTTGGGAATGCATGAAGGAAGGTGACTCCCCAGAAGGGCCCTGGGGAGGGGATCCGACTGGGGTCCTGGGAGTCCGGACAAAAGCCAGCCTCACCCCACCTCCTGATGGCTCCATACATACAGAGAACAGGATGCACATTCCCAGTCCCCTGCTGGATGGGACAGGTGCTAATGCCCTTACCTGCCTTCCTGTGCTTAGAGACCCTCCTCACTCTAGACCCTCCCTCTAACTAAGACAACAACCCAGACCACTTTGCTATTGAGGACAGTCACTCCACAAGGGCTACCACTGCTGTCCCTTTGCCTCTGGGAACCTCATCTTACCTCCAGCCCAGCAGGCAGGAGTTAATGCAAGCAGCAAAGGCTCCTGAGTGCTCCCATCCACTGAGTCACTTAACACTCAGGACAAACAGGTGTGGTCACACCGGGGCCCAGAGATGGTGCCAGGGACACTCAGCCAATCCCTGGTGGAGCTGGGACTAGAACCCAGGCAGTCTGACCCAGAGTCCAACAGCCCTGCATCTCCCTTGATAAACCACACCTTGGAGCAGGCCAGAAGAGCTCCAGGCACTCTGCACACGACAGATGTCCAGCCCAGCCTTCTGCATGGTAAGAGTTCCCACGTGCCCTGTAGTTTGGCCTGTGAGCTCATCCAAAGCAGTTAGCATCTTCCACTATGTTTCTGGAGGCCTGTGGGTTTCACTGATGCTATTTTCTTTCTCGGCTCCATCCTATGGCTCCTTCCAGCCCTGACTCAGGCACTGCCTGCTGTAACCTCCCCCATGGCAGAGGCCTCTGCGCTCAAGGTCCCTCTCCCATCTCTTCCTGTTGCAGACACAGTGCCTGTACATGCCTGGCACTCTCCAGCACCCAGGAGACAGCCGTCAGCAGAGCAAAAGGGCAAGGGCTCTCATTGTAGCTCCCAGTGGAAATGACAGGCTCAGTGGGCAGCAGGACTGCCTCCCACCTCCATCCGCTGCCTCTGATGGAGAAAGGAAGCCCCTGCTAGTGTGTGGGACCCAGGTGCACAGGTCAGCCAGCTAACAGGGACCTACCTGCAGCCCGATGGGCCAAGAAATCTGAGGTGCTGAGGGAAGCCCCCAGCGCTTAGAACCCGGCCTTCAATAGCTGAGGTTCCTCACTGCAGAGGGGAACCCCAGTCATTGTGGGAGGCAGGAACTCCGCCCCTTTATGAATGAGCTTGCAAGCCTCAGGGTGCAGCATAACAATCCCGTGACCAGGGCAGGCACAAGGGCTTGGTTTAGCAGGGAAATTGGATTCTGATCCCATCCAGGAAGGGGTCCTCACTTCCCGCCTAGCTGGCCTGGGGCCTGGGGCCTGGGCACTTCCTAGGGCCCAGCATCCAGGCTACGGGTCCCTGTACTGGGACCTGCCTCCAGGGGCCGCCCCTCCCTGGCTGCGCACTGCACACCGACTCTGCTCCCACCTCTGCAGCAAAGTTCCCCTGGCTGGGCGGGCATTCCCACTCGCGTGGAGTCAGCAGGTCTCCACAACGCTGACTGCGTGCCAAGCTGACTGTGTGCCAAGCCTGCCAGCCCCAGGGCTTTCCCAGAGCTAGGATTCCCCTCTCTGAGGCTGGCTTCCAGGGCCAGCGGCTGGGAGGTCAGGGGCCGACACCCACGTGCCAAGAGCACAGCTCTCCGGCAGGCTCCGCCCAGTCACAAGAGGCTCCACGTGGCAGCACGTTACCTTTTCACACTCCTCTCGTACTCAGTCCGCTGGCGGCACAGCTCCGCCCTGAGCTCCGCGACCAGCCCCTGCAGGGCCTCGGAGCGGCGCACACGCTCCCGGGTGGGGCTGCCCGGCTCGCTGTTGCTGGCACCCGTCCCCGCCTCCTCCAGGCTGTGGCCCAGGTCCAGGGACTTGGGGTCCTCGCTGCTGCTGGGGAGCGGGGAGGGCTCCAGGGCCCATTCGGTGTGCAAGGAGCTGCGGGAGGAGTCGCTGGCACGGCAGGCCGTGCAGCTGCTGAGTGAGCCCCCTGCCGACGACTCGCTGGACGAGGCCCCCGACCACACCATGCTGGCCACGCTGGGCGTGCCGGGAACCAGGCCCGCAGGGGGCACATTGTCGTAGGTGGAGAGTCTCTGCACAGAGCCCGAGTCCTTGAGCCGGTCTCCCGACGAGGCTCGGCGGTGGCCGCGCAGGGAAGACAGCCCGTTCATGAGCCAGTTCCCGCCAGAGGAGATGATGGGCACCTCCAGGGACGATCCACCCCCCTTCGGGCTTCCGGACCGGGACCCCGGCTGCCGGAATGAGGACTTCCAACTGGGCAGGGTCTGCACCTTCTTCCCGGGGCTGCACCGGCTCCCCGGCTCCGTGGGGGCAGTTCTGGAGAGCACCGCCACGGCCGCCCCATCCAGGGAAGAAGTCCTGTGCGTCGGCAGGCTGGGGCCACCAGGCTCTCCCTGGCTGTCTCTGGTGACCTCCTCGGAGCCCCACCCCACTGCGCACTGCTGGCCTGCGCGCGGGGAGGTGGGCCCTTCCGGGGTGGGTGCTGTGAAGAGCTGGCTGTGTTTGCGGATGAGGACCGTCATCAGGTGCTGGATGAGGGAAGTGCCTGTGAGAAGAGAGGCGGAGAGAAGCCTTGCTGCCAGAGGCCGGCCCAGGGTCGCTCTGCCAGTCATGGGGAAGCTGCAGCTTTGTGGGAGCTGGTCCTGTCCCTAGAGCCAGGCTGCCCCTCAAAGGAGACTCCATCCGCCCAGAGGAAAGGACCACACACCCTCCAACTCCAGGCAGGACAGCAGGATGGGGCTACAGAACCACCTTCCTCAGGCACAGAGCTGCAAGCAGGGAGGAAACACTGTGCCCGCTCCCAGGCCCTCCAGCTGGGGTGGGGTGAGGGGACAGGCACCAGGGCTGCAGGATGAGCAGGTGGCAAGTTGGGACTGGAAACTGGGAGTTGAGATGCCAGAGCTCTCTCAGCTGCCCCCTGTTACCACTCCCACCCCCTCCCCCACCCCCATGCTGCTGACAACCGCCATGCCTGAATGTCCACACTCTGGGACAGGGAATAGAGCCTTTCCTGTGTGGGGGCACACACATACTATTGCACACACAGTGCACCCACCCACCCCCAAAAATCCCTCCCCCGACAATCACACATACAGTGTATCCCACCCACCCCCAAAGTCACACACACACATACAATTGTACAAACAATGCACCCACCCAGCCTCCCCAAATCCCCCCAACACACAATCACACATAAAATGCACACTCCCCCAAAATCCCACACACATAAATTGCATGTACAATGCACTCTGCCCAGCTTTCCCAAAGCCCACACGCATACACAAATGCACGCACAATGCACCCCACCCAGCCTTCCCAAATCCTCTCAATACACAATCACACATACAATGCCCACTCCCCAAAATCCCACACACACATACACAACGCACCCTCCCCAGCCTCCCCAACCTCCCCAAAGCCCCCCACAAACAATCGCACACACAGTGCACCCTGCCCACCCCCTAGAATCCCACACACATAGAATCTCACACACACCCACCATCCCCCATCTCTAGGCCAAGGCCCCTGTGATGCAGCCCCCAGTCCTGGGGACTCAGTTCTTGTGGTGGTGGGGTGGGGGCCTGCAGTGGATGTGGGCAGTGCAGGAAGGACCATAGCATCTACCCAGCTGCCTCATTCTCTCCCAACACTCTCACCACAAAGACCAGATGCTAAGAGGTCCCCTGGGTGGGACAGAGGGCTGAGTGCCATGGTGGACTCTCCCATTGAAGTTGACTAGGAATCCTAGAAGAAGGCAAGGAAAGAATTCTGAGGCCAAGAACTTAGGTGATGCAGGAATTCCATGATGCAGGCAGGGCAGGCCTCCCCCTTGAGCATCTATTACCACCAGGCAGGTGGGAACCTGTGTTTTCCTGGCCTGGTGGGGTCTTGGGGTGGGAGACCCAGCCAGGGCAAGCCAAAGACGGGGCTTGGCAAAAGCACCCCATCATGTCCCTGGACATGGGACAGGGGCCAAAACAGCCTCAGCTGTGGGCTTTCTGTCTGAACAGCACGTCTCTCGTGCATCCTCCACAGGGGACAGTGTTCCATGGGCACTGTGAGGTGTGCTCTCTTTTCCATGGCAGCCTACACCTGTGCCCTTTGCTAAGTCTAGCTGACTGGCCTCTGGTGAGTCCCCTCGCCTCTCCTGGCCTCAGTTTCCTCATCTGTAAAGTTGGGGCCGATTACCACATCCCAGGCTGGTTGTAAAGCCTGAAATGAGGAGATACCAACAAAGCACTTAGTAGAAGCTTACTGAAAGCAGCTGCTGTTGCTGCTATTTGTAATCACTTATTGTTATTTATCATAGAAATTCTCCAGGGTTTGCAAAGCTGACATCTAGGAACCTATGACAATCGTGTGATTATAAATGGAAAGCAAACATGTCTGTAGGTGTTCAAGGGCAAGAGTGCTGGCCTCTCCCATCCCTCCAGCCTCTTCTACCCACAGAAACCCCTGGCCATTCTAATTATTCCCAGTGATCTGCTGCTGCAAAGTTCCTTTTTGTCTTACAGCTGGACCTTATGAGGGTGGCGGGGCGAGGTCTGCAGAGGCTCCTGCCAAGTCTCCAGAGATGGAGATGTGCTGCCTGAGCCACCCCTCCTGCTGGCCTGGCCCTGGGCTGACCTGGTTCCAAGGACTTGCCCCAGACCAAGATGAGCCCAGACGCAGCAGCACCCAGGGACACCAGGTACACATCCCCCTTACCTTCCATGATGGTTACTGGGTCCTCAACCTGTGGCCGCAGAATGTTAGGTCCAAAGACGGTTGCCAGGTTCTGGACACTCATCTTGTTGACATTTGAGTACGCTTGAACTTCATGCAGAAACCTGCAAAGTAAGGAAGCAGCAATCATCAAAGAAGCAAGTTCTGACGCCCAGTCACCTGGGAGCAGCCTGGATGCCCTGCCTCACCCCTGCTGAGCCTTGCTGCCTGCAGGCTTTTGCCCACTGGGTGCGGCCTGCCTCTGCCAGGCTTGATGAGGGCAGGATTCCCCTGGGGCCTGAGAGGGCCATCAGAAGCAAAGGTCACTGGGACAAGGACCCACCACTATTTGTGTGGAAGGAGGACACATGACTCTCCACACAGCAGTGGGTGCAGATTCTGGGAAGTCCCAGACCCCAGTCAGCACCAGCCCTACATGCCCCTTCTCAGAGTCCAGGATAGGGATACATGAAGGGTTGGGGTCAAGAGGCAGATGCCTGGGGGAACAGGATGGTGAGAGGCACCCAGGAGGGACTAAGGGTATGTCCCTTCTGGAATTATCTACCCAGGACTGTTTAAAACCACCTGCTCAGTGTCTGCGCTTTTCCACTCCCTGCTGCGTCCACGCTGGGTGAGGCTCTGCAGGGAGCAGGGGAGGGGGAATGACTCAGGCCCCCTCTCAACAAGGAAGAGTTGTGTGTCTCAGGGTGGGGTTGGGGGATGAGTGCAGAGCCAGTGCAGGAAAGTGTGGTTCCCTCCTGCCACGCAACTTACTTGCAGATGTATCTGAGCAGGTTGTAATTGGCCTGAGGAAGGTTGCTCACTTGTTTAGCCAACTCCAGAGTGCCCTTAGGAATGAAGAACAGAATTTCAAACAAACACCAGGAATGAGGCCCCTGGGCCTTCTCTGACTTTGAGGAGGGGTAAGCAAGGAGAAGGGAGGTGGGGGCTACGGTGACCCAACCCCAATGGACCAGAGGGCTCTACCACCTCCCCCCACCCCTCAAGGAGTGGCCAGGGCCCAGATGTGACCTCCTGGGAAGCTAACTTGCTTCCAGGGAGCTAGTGTGAGGGGTGAGCTGCCCGTGGAGGAATGTCAGGGCCAGCACTCAGCTCGCTTATCAAGACACAAATATTTGCCAGATAATGAGCCCTCATCTCCCACATGGCCTCAGGGGGGGTAAACAGTCCTTAGCTGGCCCTGAGCCACCTGGGGCTGCAGACTAGCACCTGCAGGGGCTGGGACAGGAGGGCTGGCCCATCTGTCTTGGGAGCCAGCTGAAATTCTTTTGGGAAGGAAATGAGACATAAATAAAAGATCTCCCTCTTTCTGAGCCCATGACAGGCCTGAGTGGCCTGAGTTGGGTGTGGGGAGTGTGAGTGGCCAGAGCTGGGCATCCCCGGACCTGCCCCTCCAAGGCTGCATACAGGTATGGCTCCAGACAGACAGCAGGATGCCCTGGCCCCTCCCCAACCCAAGCAGGATGCTCCAGGCCCCCACCACACCCCACACACAAAGCAGGCCTCCACAGGATCCATGTGCCATGAAAATTCATGACAAACCAGAGTCTGTGTCCTGACTCTACAGGCTGCCACCCAGCCAGCCCATCTCCCAGGAGCTATCCCCAGGAGCCACTGACCTCCCCCTCGTCCTTGGTGAGCAGCTGGGCGCAGCTGAGGAAGTCCTCGTACCTGGCGAAGGGGACCACGGGCTCAGGGAGCTCCCGCAGGTAGAGCTTCAGCAGGGAGGCCACCGTGTGCACGTCTGTTGTGCTGGGGAGTTGGGGGGAAGAAGAGGACAGGTGTGTGAAGCCTGAGATGCCAGGAAATTTCAGGAGTGACTGGCACCTCTCCTGTTGCCAAGGGGCAGCCTCTGGTCTCAGGTGCACGCTTGGGCACACTGGGGCTGCATCTGTGGTCAGCTGCCCTGGTGAAGGAAAGGCCCATGCTGCTTCTGGGAGCAGTGGATAGAGCTCGGGGAGGGGCGACTAAGGATCCATGGCCAGGAGTTCCAGCTCAGGGGCAACCCACCATGCCCAGGCACCCGTTCATAACCCCTGAGTTTCATGTCTGTGTCAGTCCGTCCAGGACCTGCTCCTGTCCTGCATAGACTACACGGGACTCCAGGGGCTGCAAAGCCACAGGGCCCTGCAAAGCACAGCTGCTCCACCCTAGCAGCTGCCCTGGACCAGAGGAATCAAGTGTGATGTAGGTCAGGTTGCACAGGGGAGGGCCCTGGGACATGGGCTGGGGGCCCCTTCTACAGGCCTGGTGGCCATCCCAAGGTCCCCTGCAGGATGATGTGGGAGCCTGGGAGCTGCCAGCTCTCCAGTAGGAAAACTGTCTCACAGGCCCTCTGTAGGTGCTGCCAGCCCCAGCCCAAGCTTGCCCTCCCTGCTGTACTTGACCTTGGCTGGAGTGGGAAGAGCTGCATCAAAGCTCCCACCAAGCAGGGCTGCTGGTTCCTTGTCTGGGAGCAGGTATCAGGGGACCAACAGCAGGAGCAGGTCAGAGGTCAGGCCCTTTCCTCTCTTCCTGTCCACAATGGGGACACCTAGCCTTCTAAGCTCATCACCACCTCTCCAGTGCCCCAGGAGTCCACTCCAGGCCTCAGTCTCCTGCTCTGGCTCGGAGCTGCCAAGACTGAAGTAGACCAGCTGTGGGTGGTGGTGGCACTAGGCCTGGCACAGTCCTTCCCTGGGTCCCATGTGGGGTCTGCAGTTGAGGTCCTATACAAGAGCCTTGGCATCTCCTCAGAGCTTGCATTCCAAGTAGTATACAGGCCCCAGGTAGTTCATCTACTTGCCTAGGGCCCTGGACTTAAGCCCTGGACTGCATTTCCAGCAGCAAAGATGAGCCCAGGGCCAGGAGACCATGGCTGTGCCTTTATGCTATTCCCTGGCCCTGGCTGAATCCCAGGCTGGGCTCACTGAGATAAGTGCCTTCTGGCTTTCATATTTGGAATTCTGGGGTTCCATGTGTCCATATGCATCCCAGATATACCTGGGGCCCCTCGTTGCCTGAGGCTCAGTGGCTCTTGGTCTGGCTGGGTCCAGGAAGCCCCTACTCCACCCCCGCTTCCCTCTCCAGCCAGGCTTGCTGCTGCCACACCCTCGGTGGCCTTCTCCTGGGTCACGTTCCTAGCCAACTGCCCTGGGTACCCAGGCTTGAGCCCAGCAGCCCCTTCTCCACTGGGGCCCCATGCCTTCAATGGCAGCCTGAGTAGAGCAAGAGAGATTGGGGGAGGGTCAGGAGGCAGGGAAGTGTGGTTGGGAGCCAGCCCAGGTCCTCCCCTTTTCTGCAACTGGAGGGATGGGAGAGCTTCTGCCCTGGGCAAGTGGACAGAGCTGCCCCTCCTCTGCAGACCTCCCGAGCTGCATCCCTGCTCCACAAGGACTTGCTGTTCAGCCCTGTCCAGCCTCCCATCCGATCATCTTACTTCCTTTCCTTGCCCTTCCCTCCCTCTCCTCTCCCTCCTTCCCCACTGCAATACTTTTAACAGCTGTTTCCAGGCCTTTTCTTGAGACTTTTCCCTAAACTGCTGTCCCCTTCCCTCCTTTAATAAGCCCCAAGGAGAACTCTGCACAGCCTGTGGTCCTGTGGGTGCCCCTGCACAGCCTGTGGCCCTCCCAGCATGCAGTGACACACTGCAGGCAGAGGTGGGGGTTGCGAGGCAGACAGGGCAGCAGTTGGTCAGCAGATGAGGTGCCTGCCCTGGTGGCAAACTGGTCCTGGTGGTCAGGGCAGCCCACACTGAGGCAACCCTCCATCTGCAGGTTCCTCATCATCTCTCCCTTCTCAGGGACACCCTCTTGCCCACACTAACACCAGCATCTATCCAGGAAGGATAGCAGCTGAGGGAATAAGAAGAGCCTGGCAGCCAGGAGTCCCTGCAGCCCCAGGCTCCGGCACAGAGGAGGCTGTCCTCAGCACTCAGCAGCAGGGTGGCTGCCTGCGAGACGGACAGCCCAGTGCGCAGGGGATGATGTGCTGGGAAGGGACAGGTATGGGGCAGCTCCAGGCACTGAGGCTTCCAGGCCTGGTGAGGCTTTAATAGGAGAGAAGCCCAGGACCTGGGGCTAAAGGGTACCTTCTTATAGAGATGAGCAGGAAAGTGAGGAGGGGGCTTTGTGGGGAAGGTGCAGGTTAGAAGCCAACACCCCAGCAAGCAGGCAGGCTATGGCCTGGGGGAGAGAGCTCCATCCCAAAAGCCTCTGTCGGAAGTGGGTGAGGAGGGGCTCCTCTGTTGGGGGTGGGTGGGCAGGGGGCCCTCTGTCCTGGGTGGGTAGGGACGGGGGCCCTCCACCAGGGAGGTGGGGGCAGGGAAGGGGTCCCCCGTCTGGGGGACGTGGTGAGGAGGGGCCCTCTGTGGGTACAGATGCAGAGCCAGAGGAGCTGCCATGGTAATGGCAGGAAGCGGGAAGGATGGCCTCAGATACCCAAGGAGGAGTTTCTAAAGGGAGAGGGAATCAAAGCCCAGGCCCTCCGTGGCAGTATGGGGTCATGCAGAGATGGGGGTGGAGGAACAAGGCTAACATGCCCACTGTGGAGAAGGCCCTCCAGAGACAATTCCAGAAACAGCATAGAAGCGGCCAGAGAGGGAGAAAGCAGACAGGAGAGGGCCTCCAAGACACAGGGAAGGCTGCCCCAGGCTGCTGGAAGGCTGAGAGTCAGGTCTGCATAGAACACACCCTGCGGGTGCCAGCTGTCTTTCCAGGGGAATTCAGCAGGCAGGCCAAGTGGGGAAAGGAGGCTGAGCACGCCAGAAACCACACCTTGGGAGAGCAGGTGTGCCCAGGTGGAAACCCGGCAGGGTGGGTGAGGCTCAGATGGCCTGCGCCACTCCAGGGAGTTTGGGCCACTCCAGCAGAGTTTGAGTAGGGGAGTGGCGAGGTCTGCAGAAGCCCCTCAGGTAGCATCAGGCACTAGGGCGGCAGAGCATCTGATCCTGGAGAACTTCCAAAAGTCCCGGTTCCCAGGCTCTACCCAAGTAACATTATTTGAAGCATCTCCAGCCCCAACACTGGGCCACATAAGACATAGGATGGAAGAGGCCTGGCTGGCAGAAGTTCAGAATGGACCACAAGCTCACTGAACTCAGCATTGGGATGGAGCTTCATAAAGCTCTGGATGAAAGGTCCCCGTAACTCCCTGGGCAGAGCATCTCTGGGGAGCAGTGGTCAGTCCTCTCCATCTAAGGAGAGGAGACACCTCCCCTGGCTGCAGTGACGGGCCTGGGAAGAAGCTGAGGGGCTGAATGTTCTGTCCGAGAGGAGAAGCCCTGAGAGACCAGGGCGACCTGTGGGTCCTGGGGCAGATCCAAGAAGACAGGGTGGAAGCCCCTGGAGGGTAGGTTTTCTTGATTCAGGAAGAAATCTATGAAAAAAATTGCCCCATGATGGGTAGGGGCACTGTCAGGGGAAAGAGAGTCCCCAAACAGCCCTGCGCTGGGGTATAGTTGGCTCCACCCAGGGTGATCCAGGGCCTGGGTACACCCCCATGATGGGTAGAATGGACATGGTCCCAGGGCAGGTGCAGAAGACTTGCTCCCCTGTCCCTGGAACCGAAGAGGAAGGAAGCCGCGCTGCTATGCCACCAATAGAGCCTGGCAGTAGGTCACCGGAGGAAGCATGGCCAAGAGACAGATCCTGAGAGGGGACCCCAGGCTGGCAGGGTGAGGGTGTGCCCTATAGTCTGCCACTGGGAAGGTTGGCCCACCATCCAGTCACCAGCTCACCCCTGTCATCACTGGAGCTGGTGTCCTGGGCAGGATCCCCTGCAAGAGGAATGAACAAGCGGCTCTACATCACCCCTGTTCATGAGCTCACCTGTCAAACAGTGGCTTCTCCCCACAGTCGAAGGAATCCTGCAGGTCCCTCACCAGGTTGGCCTGGCCCGGCATTCGGAACAGCCCCTCCTCAGTGAGCCCACGCTCCCGGATGAAGTCCACACACTGCTCCACCAGCAGGGGTGCCAGGCGGGGGCCATACTTCCGCTCATGGTGGACTGTGTCCTCCAGGCGCTGCCCAAAGATCCCTGAGCACAGAGAGGAGCTAGTCACACCCTCCACCACCCAGCTCAGTGGTGGGTACTTGGGACGATGGAGGGCAGGTACACTATTAGGGCTAAAAGTGGCTCCTCCCCAGAAAACAAATTAGATACTGGGAGGACGCACACCAGAAGGCTGAGCCCTGGGCTGCCTATGGACAGACAGCAGGAGGGAGCAGTGGGCTGGTGGCATGACCTGGCCCCTGGAGCTTGCCCAAGCCAGGAGCAAATGGCCCTCAGGGAGCATGCATTATGCATGTCATTGATTGGTTTTGCAGCCATTCCAAATGAGAAGCCATCCAATGCCCATCTCCAGCAGAACCAGTGTATCTCCTATATTGTTCTTACTGTGGAACACTGTGCAGCAATGAGAATAAATGAGGCACAGCTCACCGGACAAGACAGACACAGTAATATGAAAACCATAGTCATGACTCAGCATCAATCACCATCAGGAAAACGCAAATCCAAACCACTATCTGATCCCACCTCACTAGGATGGCTACTATCAAAAGAACAGGTAGTCACAAGTGTTGGCGAGGAGGTGGAGAAACCCTTCCTTGTGCACTGCTGGAAGGATGATAAGATGGCAGTTGCTGTGGAAAACAGTATGGCAGGTCCTCAAAAAATTAAAACTAGAATCACCAGTAATCCCTCCCCTGGGTATATACCTAAAATAATTAAAAGTAAGGTCTCAAAGAGGTACTTGCACAGTCAGGTTCACAGCGGCATTATTCACAGTAGCTGAAACACAGAAGCAAGCCATGTGTCTATCAGTGAATAAATGGAGAAGCAAGACATGGTATTTGCATACAGTGGAAACTGATTCAGCCTTAAAAAGGAGGGGAATTCAGACACATGCTACAACGTGGGTGAACCTGGAGAATATCATGTGTAAAACATTCACAAAAGGACAAATACTGTGTGATTCCTCTTATATGTGGAGCCTGGAGTAGTCAAATTCACTGAGACAGAAGTAGAATGGCAGCTGAAGGGGCTGGGGGCAGGGGAGATGGAAGTTAGAATCGAATGGGCAGAGTCTCAGCTTTGCAAGATGGGAAGTGTCCCGGAGATGGAGAGTACTGGTGGCTGCACCATAATTTGAATGAATGTAATGCTGCTAAACTGTGTGCTTTAAAAATGATGAAGATAGGATGTTTTATGTGAGGTGTATTTTATGAAAATTTTTAAAAATTAGAAAACAAAAAACATCATCAGAAACAAAAGAAGCCAAACCCCGGAGTGCACACTGCATGACTCCATTTATGTAAAGTTAAAGATAGGCCAGACTCATCGTGCTATTAGGCCAGGACACGGTTACCTTGGTAGGTCAGTGACTGGAAGGGGCTCAAAGGCTTCTGAGGTTCTGGTAACACTGTGTCTCCCCCTGCACGGCTTACCCAGTTATGTCCCACTTGAGAAAATTCACTGAACTGTACACTTATGACTTGTATACTTTTCTGTATGCTACTCTTAAATAACATTAGCAAAAAGAAAGCAAAGAAATCAGAGAGAGAATGATCTAAAACAATACATGACAAGACGCCAGATGAGGAATAGAGGGAGAGGGGAAGGAGGCAGAGGAACTTCAGAGAAATCTATGAAAACTGAATTTATCACTAGTCTAAGAGGTTCCTGGCAGCCCAGGCAAAGAAAGGAAGGAGTTGAGAGCCATAAAGCTGTCTATACCATGGTACAATAATAGGAGAAACAGACTTCTGCCCGTCTCTAAGCTTTCAAGCTGAGTTCCTGACTCTGGAGTGCCTGACATTATTCACACCCACTGTGCAGAGACCTTCCCTACAGGGTGGCTTGTGGGCTGTTCCAGGGGCAAGATGCCAAAGCTCCATGTCCAGGCATGGGACTTCCCAGAGACCTGGGCACTGAGCCAGCTAAAAGTGGGGCTCCATTTGTCTTACTTAGCTCCCCAACACAGGGGCTATTTTGGAATAAGATACATCAGTCCCTGATACAGTGCCTGGCACAGAGCAGGACACAGTAAATGCTCCTCCTCACCCTGCTTGACCCAAAAACTAAGTGTATAAAACCTGAAAGGTAAAGACTCTTCCTTTGAGAACACATGCCCATGTGGGCTGCACCTGCTGGATGCCAGCAATGCTTTGGCGAGAAGTGTGTGTGCACATGTGTGCATGTAGTGTGGGCTAGTATGTGCACGTGTGCACATGCGCTGGGTGTGGGCTTGCAAATGTATGTGCATATGTATGCATGTGGGCTTGTGTGTGCATGAGCATGCACAGGTGGGGGGCGTGTGAGAGTGAGGAGAGTGCCAACGTAGCTACACATGGTGCTGTGGTGCCAGGTGCTGTGGTGCCAGGTGCTGCTCTGAGCATTTTACACCCATCAGCACATTAATGCTTCCCATCTTGATAACTCAGGGACTGTCACTATCACCGTAACCATTGTCATCATTATCTTGACTTTTGCCTGTTCAGCTTGTGGGGTGTTTGAACTGAGAGGCATGGGGGCTTAAGAATGTGCACAAGTTCACTCAGCATGCATGACAAGGACAAGGTTCCAACCCAGGCAGTCTGTCTCCAGGTATAGAGAATGTACTCGGTCACATGACTGCTTGGCACCCACGCTGGTCTGGAGATACCTATGTGGGGCATGCCTCAACTCAGCGCCAGCCGTTCCTGAGAACGTGGGTCCTGTGGAGGGACAACAGGCAGAGGTCACAATACTAACACGAAGGGAAAGCTGCTGCCACCTGGGACCTGGTAGGCGAGACCAGTCACCCCTGCCCATAAGTGGGGCCCAAGGGGCCATTCATGAGCCTTGAGCACAGGGGGTAACCCTGCTGCAAACTTGGCCTGCTAGCTGCCTGGGGCACCTCTGAGAAGTCAGTCCGAGGAGGCTCTGGGGCTCACCACTGACAGTGTCCTGGCCTTTCTACCAGCCCAAGTGTGGCCTGGGCTGGTCCAGGGACACTGAGCCCCTGCTCTCTCTCACCTCAGTCAGGGCTCAACAACTGATGCCCAACAATGGGCCACATAGGTCCACAGATGTGCCTGTTTAGCTAGTATGATGTTTGAACCATTTTTAAATTAGTTATTTACAATCAAGAGATTTTGTACATAAATCTGGATTCCCAGCTTCTCTTAAAAAATCCAGATGTGGTGACACCAGGCCTGAGTTCCAAAAAAGCAACAGTTGCAGAGCTCAGTGGCATCTGATAGCACACACATGGGCCAGTTCTCCGCAGTCCCCACCATCCCCTATTGCTTCCAACCTAGCCCATGCTCCACTCATGTGGTCTTGCCAGGTATTCGTTCAGCTCTTCTGCTTTGACCTCTGGGGCACAGACTTGCCCCAAGGATGCTGGGGCCAGGATAAGTAGGAAAGGTACCAATGGGAAGCCACACCTCTTGGGACAAGAGGCCTCTGCTGGGACCTCAAATGGGTAGGCAGAGGGCACCCGGGAGGAAGTGCCCACAGGCAGACAGTCCCGTGAGGGGAGGGGCTGGCCTGGCAGTGCACCTGGTGCCTGCTGCCTGCCTCCTGCCTCCATCCGCACACACACACACACGTCACCTTCTCCAGCTCTGCCCACTGCTTGAGTGGCATGAATCCGTCTGCCTTCTTGGGGCTGGAGTGGGCAGGGCCTTCTCCCTAGTGTCGCTTTCCTCTTCAGTCTGGGCAAATTTCCTACTAGCCCTCAGAAGAAAACTCAGAAGTCCTCCTACGTGAGTTACCCCAGACCCTCCCTTCAGCTTTCCCTCAGCTGTCACAGCCCTGACTGCCACTACTCCAGACAGCGCGAGGACACTCCCCCCTGCCGGGTTGCTGGCCTGCCCAGGGCCACATGCTGGGGTTGCAGCAGAGGCCAAAGAGAACCAGTGAAGGAGGGGACCACACTCTCCAGGGCCGCCTCCCATCCCAACTCACAGCTTTCAGCTCCACCCTCAACTCACTGCTGACTGAAGGCCACAGTCAAGGAAGAGACCCCAGGGAAAAATTCCAAAATTCTCTCTGGAGGTCCATGGAGCATGGGTAATTCCATCTAGTCATCTCTTGGCTCCAGCCCTGCCTGCTGTCCCATCTCCTGCCCCTAGGACCCCTGCTATGGGTCTGTTTATCCACCTTTCCATCACCCCTGTCCTTTGTGCCTGGCCCTGCTCTAGGAATTAGAGAGCTGCCCTGAGAGCCATAAACATATAAATCCCCCTGGGGCCTCCCCTGCTACCTTTAACACTGTTCTCAGGATAAAGCCTAAACTTGGCAGGCAGGCAAGGCCCTGCCCCACTCCCTCCTCCAGCCCCTAGGGGTGCAGAGCCTGGGCCAGCCTGCTGTTCACACTGTGCCAGCACATCCAGGCAGCTCCCAGCCCCAGCACAACCACTAACCCTCTGCTGCCCCATGGTGCCTTCCTGACCACTTTCCCAAAACAGGACTGGAAGAGCCAGGAAAGGGACATCCACAAGGTCCTGGGCACTTCTAGAGAGAACAGGTTCAGGAGGAGGTGATGTCTGAAATCAACGTCTTAAAGATGAGCAGGAGGCAGGCAGGCAGGTGGGGTTGCAGGGCACATGACAGAGGACCATGGGGGTTGGAGGGCAGGGGTGAGGGGGCATGGTTGGCAGCACCCTGCCCGGGCATTGTGGGGCTTGGGTGGGGACACAGGCAAGTAGATGATGTTCAAGGCCAAAGGTCACAGAGACAGATTCTGGATCGGCACCAGTATTGGTCTGCTGCACACCCTGGCTAACCCACTGAGGAGCGGAGTTGCCTCCCTCTCCTGGGGCTCAGTCTCTCCATCTATGAAATCTATAAAATGGGATGATCGCACCTGTCTTTAGGGGGTGCTTTGAAGGTGAGACTTCCCTGAGGCCCAGCCCCCAGGCACCACCAGGCCACAGACTGGCCCCACATTCCCAGCTGGCCACTAGGAACCCATGGAAAGGAGCTGCCAGGAGCTGTGGGAAGGCCTTATTCCAGCTCGGCCTCCCAAGAGGCTTCCTTCTCTGCAG